CTTATCTGGTTTCCATATATATGTATATACTATGTATACGCTTAATGTTTATTTTGCTCGACTTATTCGTATTCCACATTTGTTAATTCGTTTGCAATGCCGAGATCTTATAGCGATCTGGCTTCCCTTAATTAGATTTCCTCGTTGAAAATGTTTAATCTGCATGGATTTCCACGCGTATCGTTCGACTGCTTCACGCGACGCACTACATCTCAAGGCTCACACTGCTGTATGGCCTACGTGCCAAAACGCACACACATTGTTTTTGCCACTTTCGTTGTTTTGCTTAGCTGTTTCGTTGTTACTATTATACATACATATGTTTCAATGTTGTACACTGAGAAAATGAAAGGGGTAAAACGCAAGTTTTTAAAAGAAATTGTAAAACAACATTTTTTGATAAAGTTTTACTTCGTACAAACTAAAAATGCAGTATTTTTATTTACGGCTTTAAAACGAAACATTCGCAAAACAAAAACGAACCTTATAATATATTTTATTTTCGAGGGAGGAAGAACACAAACGAAATGAAAGCAAAAAATAACGACAAAAATGCTTATTTTCAAAAGTAAAATGAAACATTTTTGAATATTGTCCCTACGAATTGTAGTGCGATACAATTTTCAACAAGTAATATAAGACGAGACACTTTTAAAATAAAAATGTAAATTTATTTTCAGTCAATTACGTGTGAAAAATAAAATGTTTTGCTTTAGAATTTAAAAAGCTACTTACAAATGTATAATAGATAACATTTCATTTGTATGCATCATTTGTCGAAAAATTTGTGTGTAGAAAATCAAGTTACTTTAAGCTTCGATAGCAAGCATTTCCTTCTTCAGAAAAGGCGCTGTAGTATAATATCGCCGTTGTAACCATATAAATAAGAGGACATTGTTGATACGATGGACTTCTTTGATCGAAAAAAAAATCTTTCATAAGAATAACTTATTATTAATAATAATTTACAATTTTCTTATGATAAATGTGTAATTTGTGATCTGACCATAGCGTGAAGCAAAACCATCAGCCACATTTTGGAAGAAAGGAAGGACAATCTGTATGTACTTATATATGTGATATATGTATGTATGTAAGTAAAATATCAATGTATATACATACCAAATGACTTTGTGATTTAATAAAAATAATATTTTAAAAGGAAACATTTTAGAATTTGATTTGAACATGGGCATTTTCAATTACCAAACGTTTGTTTTTAATAACGATTTGAAAATGTGCGTGCCAAAAACAAAAACGTAGATTCTAGGAAGTTGAGTTGAAAATTTTCGACCTCAAAACTTAAATAAATATTCTAGGTGCAAAACTTGGGTCAAAACGTTTTTAAAAGTAAAACGTACGTTCCATACAAATTTCAAAACGAAAATTTCTCTCTGTATATCTCCTTTCCCCAGCCGACGCCGATGTTGTTTCTCCATCATACATACATGTATGTACCACATACTTGTTTTTGTCTCGATTTTCTGTTTACCTCTTTTTTTTGTTTTCTTGGCTTTTGTTTCGTTATGCGCGCGCCGGGTGTTTGCCTCATCAGCCGAAGCCACCACCAGGTCTTTCGTACATATGAAATTCAGGTAATAATAAAGCGCACGGTTTGGAGGTTTTTATTTGCTGTCGCTCCAAGTCTCCGAGCGTGTACTGCGTAGATTTTTTCCGCCACTTATTGTCTCCTCTATTTTTATGGAAAAGTAGCACTAACAATTTTCCATACCTCTCACACAACTGCATTTCGTGCCAACTCATTTTGAAGTTATATTCCCGGGCGACTCGTCTGATGACTTCACTCTTTGACTTGGTATACACATTTGAAGTATGTATGTATGTATGTACGTATATAGCTCAGAAAAATTAAAAATGCAGGCAATTGATGGCAATACCCAATAAACATTTACTGGATTTTATTTTCAAAGTTTTCAGGAATTATCTATAAATGTGGTAAATACTGCCATTGTGGCCATGCTTGAGTCTGTAAAACCGCCTGAAATGTTTCTGGGAGAATTTTTTTAAAGCATTTTTGCGAGCTGTTGTTAAGTTGGCTAGCCATTTGTACCTAAAATGTTTTTTTTTCTCTGGTTGACACTAAGTTTAAGATGCGCCCTGTAAAAACCTCTTAGAATGTAAAGGTTCAAAAAGCCTCGAGTTATATCCCTTTCTTTTCACTGGTTCAATGGACAATGACAGCATTCGACGAGGCGGCCCTTGGAGCATTAGAGACTTAAGATTCTCCGGGATGCCGCCACTGCGATAGAAAGATCAGTTGGAGAAGGGCTTAGCTACACTCGGCATTTTTAATTGTCGTTAGTTTAACATACAAGAGAAACAACTGGCCTGCTCTATGGGACTAGTCCAAAATCGCATTGGCGGTTACAGTGCCACACAAGAAGAATATAGCCTTCTATAGAATGAGGCTTCAATTAGATTATTTTATATACATACATATATGTAATTTGAGTTGAGATGGTGAAATGATCGCCATTTCAAAGATACAGCTGGCTAGTATAGAAAAATATAACAATGTGTCTTATGAATATCTCACTTCAGGCTTCTGATGTAACCGCCTAAGGGCCGGTTACTCAACGTCTGGTTAACTCTAATCTGCGGTTAAACATCTTTATCGACGTCTTCGACTCCATGCATACAACAGGGAGTCAGTAACGTCGATAACTATGTTTAACCGGAGATTAGTGTTAACCAGACATTGAGTAAACGGCCCTAAGACTTTTATGAAGTTAAAACACTACGTACAAGTAATTTATTATTAAAATATTTACTATGTTTATTTGCGCTTGTGGCTTGTTATCAAATTAGATAAGGAAAGTTGTGTTGTTTACATTTGCCCTTTGCACGTCCGACTGCACTGAGAACGCCAAATATTTGGTTTATTGTGCACGAATGCAGGCGTCCAGAAGCAATTTCTTTTTCCGTTTTCTCTCCACATCTCGCCGTACGTGCAGTATTCGTAGTAAATATGCATTCCTCCTTCGAAATATGTATGCATGTATATATTAGACCGTATCGCGATGTATGGGCTGTTCCATGCGGTTTTGAACACTTACTAGGTAAGTACTTCAGTAATATAAAATTTTTTTCGGCACCCTATAAAAGCAGCTAAATAAATTTTAAATGTTTCTGTATTCTGCTGTACTTAAAAGATATAATTATTGTCGGAAAACGCCACCCTGTAATCAATAGTAAGAAGGAGTGCATTACCCATTTCTCAGAGAATATCCCTATTGACTATTCATACGTCGAGTGGAAAATTTTCGATGCATCTATGTCAGCCGTGCCCAGCGCAGGGCACTAGCTTATTGAATTCTGCCGGCGTTGGGCATGCCTGATCTCTGTTGTTCCAAGCGATTTTGAACGCTCACTCTGAGAGTATTTTAGTATTGTTAAAATTGTTTTTACATATATGCCCTTGTAAAAAGACATTTACATGCATTGCCCACCTTTAGTTCATACACTTCACACTTAGTTCATACAATCTTAAAGCAAAAATATTTCAAAGTGTATGAAGATGAAGTAAAGGTGGGCAGTATATGGTCTGTTCCTTTGAACTTCGGACTTAAATCTGTGTAACTGTCCAACAGCAATATTACTGTCTTAAGTGAGAGGAACGGGAGTGCAACTACATACAAATGTGTACGGGAACGCAAACAGCACATTTTCCAGCAAAAACGAAAGTCGGTTGGTTTACGTGTCATTGGTACAACACTGATTTGGCAGAAGGATATCTAAATAATATTAAAATATATATACATATATTAGAATAATTGCGTATATAGCATCTATGTATGTATATACATATAATGCGCGAGGGCATTTTTTGTTCAGGATAAAAGATCTGCCCCGTTCGCCCGATTTTCAAAAATGCCAAATTAAAGCGCTTGGCCTTTATATGTGCAAACTGGTTTTAGTTTTTGGAAAAGCTTTGCCACCTGTTGGAAAATTTAATTCAAATTACTGAAAAATCAATGTCATCATATTCGCGCAATAAGGTTTTACTTATTTGATAAGAGTTGCCACCTTTCAAAACTTATTACAAAATGTGTATCAACCGAAATGATATTGAAAAGCTTTGTTTCTTTGCTGAACTATTGGAGGGTTGCCACCTGCTAAAAAAATCACATTAGCTAAGAAAAGTATGAATGGGTTTCAGAAAGAGCAGCTTGAAAATATTTTGAAGACGGTTGCCACCTGCTTGAAATGTCGAATTTAGTTTACTTATACACAAGTTATTTGAAACATCCAAATATGGATGTCAAACGAAGAACTGTTAAAAAAACGTTAGTTTAAACGTCAGAATATTTTTGAGGAGTTGAAAGAGGGTTGCCACACCTGTTAAAAAAGTTAAATCAAAGTTTTTTAATAAGTTTAATGAATTATGGAGGAGGTATGGCCCAGTTACGGTCTCAGAAGTATTCGTAGGTACAACTTTTTTGTGTATATGAACGGCTACCTGTTTGTTTTGATTAAATCCTGTACACCGGACTCGCATTGAACTAATAAAAATCGAATATCAACTAAAGAAGGTATGGAAAAAACCGAGTTAGCTGTCTTGTTACATGATGCCGAAAAAAATGGATCTCCTGAAATACTCCTCTGGTGATTGTTCAAAATCGTTTGTAACAAATTTAACTATTTTGTGATATGGTCTAATGTCCATATGTATCTACACACATACATAAATATGTATGCATATGAAGACCAAAACAAAAATGTAACAAAAACATTCCGAGGTACCAATTGTTGGTTGCGGCTGCCACCGCCCTGCACATGCATTGCTAGCATGTATCATGCACCACCAGTCCAGCAGTCAGGCAGGCAGCCAAGTTTTTAGTCACCATTTTTATTTAAATACATCTGTGTGTGTGTTTACCTTTATTTTGTTTTATTACTCCGTCCGTTTGTTGTTTATTTTTTTTTTTTTTTTTTACACCAAAACTCGACAGCGTATCGCTTCGTGGCTCACGTAGACACCACTTGGCACAAAGTTGCTTTTAGCGATCGCGCGACTCTACGAGAAATCAGAACTTCTTCAACCATTGAACAAGACAGACGCGTCTCACCAAGTCAAAGATACTAAAAAATTGTTTAAAGTGATTACTATTTTCACTAAGTGTACTGTAAAAGTGAAATATATACAAATATCTTGATTCACAGTTTTGAATATAAATGCATAAACCTATAAGAGACTACGAAACCTCTTAAATAGCTGCTAGTGAAAAGATACTGGTAAAGAGCTCAGTTTAACAATCAATCAAGTAAAAATATGTAAAAGAAATTCATGAATACTCATTTGTTATCCCAATATATAACAATTAAAAAGCCAATTAACAGTGAAAGAATCTTTTAATTTAGATATTTAAGTATTAACAAACATTGAAGTGTTACTGAACTGAAAGTTCCAAGGAAAACGTTAAAAGTGCAGAACTTGAGTGTTGTTCAAATATAAGTACCTATATTTAACGACTCTGCATAAATCGATAGCAAGTCAGAAGCAGCACAGCCGAGCTTCCTTTGTACTTGTACTAGAGGTTTACGCCGACAGGCTTTGTGGCGGCGGTGTCGTCAACTTCAAAAATAATCGCCGGCGGCGGCGATGCCGGCGCGTCTGGAGACGCCGGCGCTACTGCCCATAAGGTAGATTCCAAAGAGCGTTGATGCTACTAATCTTAGCGTTTAGGCATTCGCCATGCCAATTCAGAATATAATTCTATTTATTTCATTTCATAGTTTTAAATTTAAATAATGTTACTTCCTACTTGAATTAAAATTTTGATGGATGGGCGAATAGAAGGTCTGCGGTATATACATACATACATGGTTCTCTATGTTCTCTATAGATCCGTATGTACTATTTAAATTTAAAGAAGTAAAAAAAAATTTTAAAGTTAAGTTATTGGAGTAATTTATGTCGCTATTACATTTTTGTAATAATCTTATCTACCGTTATGTTAAATAGATTGAACACTAGGGTGGTCTCTTATTTTCCAACAATTTTACCCATCAACTTCCAGCAGAACAGGCCTTTTTGACCCACTGCTTAAAAAATGGCTTATAGATGGTTAAAATTTCCACTAAAATATTAAACGCAAAATTTTCCTCAGGATAACCGAAAGTAATGAAAAATAGTGTTAATTTCCACCAAGAAGGGGAAACTTCAACCCTGTGTAGAAAACATTGCGGTGCAATGGAGCAAAACCTTCCTGGGGCTTGATCACAAATTGGTTAATGCTAACATAATTTTCACACAGCCACCTAGTACTTGTATAAGTCTGTGGGACCCCAGAATAAAATAACTTACTTATTTAAAATCTGTTTCAAAAAGATTCAACTCTTTATTAAAGAAAAAATACACAAGAAAGAGTATCAGTTTGTTTTTGTTTTATCTCCAATATCTGAGGAGTTAGATGCAATAAGGACACTTCTGTTAAAACTGCTTTCTGAGATATTATCGTTAAAGTTTTTGGTGTGTGATAACTTTCTTGTTGTTTTAGTAATATGTAAAAAAGGAATATTGTTGTGGTATTGTAAAAAAACAATGTTTATATTCCTGAGCAGTAGTTCCTTCAAGCGATGTATTTCAATCCGCATTCATCATGCAAATTTTGTTCAAAATTCCTTAGGCGCCGAACGCCGCTGCCGCCGCCGCTGCGCCGATATTTTCGTAACGCGGCAGCGGCGCATGAGTAATGACAAAAAACGGCGGCGGCGGTGAAGGCGTGGCTCGGCGGCGTATACCTCTAACTCGTACTATTTATAAAAAGGTAAATTTTATGTCAGCTGGCTTTCGACAAATTAAATATTTCGATTTAGGTTATACAGGCTACCAATAGCTCATTATATCGTTTATTGCGTAATTTTTATGCATACATAGTTTTGTTCAAATGTATTAGTTCATAATATTTTCAAATTTAACATTTATTAAGTTTTAATATATTTTTTTTATTAATTCATGTATATTTTATGAATTCCTAGCTGTGAAAAGGTGCCAAGTCCACATTTTTTCCAAGATGTAGTTTTTGATGCATAATAACAGTTAATGCGAAGCTTCATCGATTTTTCGTCTCCCCTGAATAATTTAAAAAATGGACTTGATACCTTTTCACGTTTAACGATATGCTTGTTTTTTGATAGATAAGTTTGGTAGGCTTTAGCAACTCTTTCTTCGTATTTTCTTATATTATAGTTGGTTTGTAGTATTTCTCATTCTTTTCACAGTATGTTCTTATTCAAGTTACGTCAATGCGGCAAAATGACGAAATTTTTTACCTTCGTTTATTGCCGGCAGCCCAGTAATTTTCCATTAGAAAATTTATTAAAATCATATCTACATGCGTACTCACATACATACATACATATGCATGTATTTACATACATGGTATCCCTTTAGGAAATGTGAGGATTCCGCCATTCATGACGAAAACATTCCGCAGAATAAACTAACGGTCGGACCATATGGGAGAGCGATGTTACCTGAGTATGGGGTTTTCTCGATCAAGGGCTCTTGTTTCGGCGACCTGACCCCGTTTAAATCGACGAACCCTATCAATTGGGAGGAAGTATTCCCCCTCGCTGATTGCAGAAAGTCTAGGTGAAACATTTCATAGAGCTTCTTTTGGAATCAGTATGGAAATATTTAAGAGAACTTTCCTCATTTAAAACTAGTTCGATGAACCGATCTATTGTTATTGCTTCTATTGGAGCTTCCACGAATGCTTCCACTTTATGTCCAAGCGAAGGCGAGAGAGAGAGAAGGAAACAGTGTAAATTTTAAAACTTCTTCGGAGTTTCCGCAAGCAGTGATAGGGTATGTTTCCATTTTACCTCCAAGTAGAAGCATCCCTTATTTTCCAAGAGGGATGTTGTATGTATGTATATTTTTATGGTACAGTAAAAACATTTTTAATACATATTTAGGTTATGCTATCTCCCAAATGTTGTCGTCTCTCTTTTGATGGGGGGGCATACATGGCACGCAATGCGCAATGTCGGAGAGCGCTAGAGCATAGAGCAAATTCAAATTTTCGTATACATACATATATTACTTTGTTGTGCCTACAGGCAAAGCACATACATATGATGTCCCTGTGTGGTGTAGGGCGTAGCGTACACATCAATTTATATTGATGGGGTGGTGAATGTTTAAAAACGAAATTTCAATAAGTTTCTGGTTTTTGGTTTTAAAGAGAACTGAATTGAGAAAAACACTTAAATATCTAAAACTATCCACATAATGCAGTAAATAAAACGAATAAAAAACAAAAAATTTAAATAAGATACAAAAAAAAATATATAAAAATTAAAGAAACCAATGGAAAGATAAAATAAAAAACGAATAACTATAATAAAAGCGTTTTTACCGAAAAGCGTTTAACTATCTATTACACTAATTTACAAGAAATCTGACTGTGATATTATGACAATATTTGTGTAAAAATTTTCCGCTGTATCCGAATATGAAGTCAAAATCAGGGATGGAAAAATAACAGTTATTTTCGAAATTTCAATTCAAGAAGTCAGGCGGAAAGAATTTTTCTCTATGACATTTGAATTTGTATATCAGTGTGATGCTGGCTAAGGAATATTAATCTTAAATGATTTAAATTTGTTTCATAAAGTCAAGAAGTAATCGTTATTTTTTAACGATATTTTTCACATTAATCACAATTAAAAATTGAATTTAATTGTTTCAGTGTAATATAACGGTTAAAATTTGACTTATTTTTTCGACAAAAGTTCAACTTTTATTTTTTTTTTTGATAAAAAAAAGTAAAAATTTGACTTGATTTTCCGATCAAAAATAAAAGTTAAAATTTGACTTGATTTTCCGATAAAAAATAAAAGTTAAAATTAAACCACTATTTCATCTGCTTAAAGACCTTTAAGTTAGAAATGTTTGTTTTGCCACGTATAAACAAGATATTTGTAGTTCGTGGATTGATAAGCAAATACGCGATGTATGTAATAAAATAATGTGAAGATCGATAGTAAACTGTTATTCATTGTATTTCCTTTATTAAGAAAAATGAGTGACATAAGCGTTTTTTTTTTTATTGAAGAAGTACAAGTCAACGGTAATTGTTATCTTTTAACGAAGTAAAAATATTAACTGTTATGAACAAATAAAAGTCAAAAGTTATTTTTCATATTTGATCGAAAATTAAATAAAAATATTTTGAATCTTTAATTCTTGATCGAAAACATATCGTTGAAAAAATAAAGATTATTTATCGACTTTTTTTGAAAATAAAAGCTTCACAGTTCCCGCCGCTGGTCAAAATATTAGAAAGTAGAACAGTTTTTGAGATATAGCCAAATTTCGACATTAAAAATTTAAACTTGATCGTAGTACAAAACACACTAAATGTATCGCACACGATCATCAAAAGTGACACAATGAAAAATGTATACAGAACTTTTATTTACATTTCCGCAGGAGCTACAACAAATTTTTGTAATAATTTGTTGAAAAAACCTATGGTAAAGTCTTCCTTCCCCATATGATTAGCATGTGTTAAGAAATAGTTTTTCGCATTTTCTGACGAACGTGTAATTTTGAGTTGTGTCACCTTTGATGATCGTGTGCGATATGGAAAAAAGTAAATATGTATGTATGAAAATGGCAATCAATAATTATGCAGCTCTATACCATTAATTGAAGCCAATCAATGCAGTGTCTTTCCTTAGATAAGAATTATGTAAAAAATAGGCTTTGCAAATTAGTAACAATTGCCGATTGCCCAACCAATTTATGTAGATATGAATGTATCGTTACGCAACTATTTATATGCAAATTGTAATGAAACAAAAGAAGCAAATCTGATTTTATTCATTTGATCAGAACACAAGTAATTTTTAAGCAAAAAACACAACCGTCTTCAATTCTCATATACAAAAAAATATACATATATATATATTTCATGATCCAATGATGGGATCTAAACCAGATTAATATGGGACCACCTCTGCGAAAAGAATTATCGAAATCGGTTGACGTGGTCCAAAGTTATGCGGTAACATACATACAAAAATAAAAAATAAAAAGGAAAAAAATAACGTTTAAATAGCACTGGAACAGCTGTGCTTTATTGTAGTTGGCTTAACAAATGAAATAGTGGAAAAAAGGCAACACGAATTCAGAAGGCGAACTTAGCACAGTGCGTAGGCAACTGGCTGAGTCAGTGGGATCGTCGGTTCGAATCCCACTGAAAGAAGTCTGATGAGGAAATGTGGTGATTTCCGAAATAGCAATCACTTCTACCCCTTTTTTTAAATTATTGTTGCTTTTCCAGAATAAGTTTTTCATTAAAACGGCCTCAAGCCCAATAAAAATTTTTGAAAAAAAAAATGAAATAAAAATATTCCGACGAGCTGATAACCTCTCCTTTTTTGGAAGTCGGTTAAAAACTAGCGCCCAATATACTTGTTTGCCGTGTATTTTTTATTGATTAAAATTAAATTATACTTACTTATTTGATATTATTAAATACAAAATTAAGAATGTTGAAAACACAAGGGCTAAACGCAAAAATTTAACCTCTTTTTTATCAACGTTTTCCTGTTCCTTCCAGATATCCAAACAATATTCAAGTCCCAAAACAACCACAACAGGTTCGTCGCCATTAGAGAAACGTGTTTTACTACCTAAACAACAGATAGCGCAGCAGCAGCAGCAGCAGCAGCAGCAAAAGCAACACCAACCTCAACAACAACAGAAAAAAGTTGCCGATAATACAGAGAGTGCGAGTGCTCGGCCGCAAGCAAATCCAGTTGCTGATAGCAACAAGAACAAAAGCCAAGACATAAAAGTAGTAACTCAGGATGAACCATCAACAACAACAAAAGAGTTAAATTCTACAACAGCTCCGGCGGCAGCAGCATCGACAACCATCGGTGAGTTTGTGTGCGTGTCTACAGCTTAGATCATAGCAGCTGGCACCTTTTAAAAGGTTTAAAAAAATATGGTGATTATGCTGATTTGTCAGCCGAGAATATCGCCCTTTTAAGTACATACATGCATATGTACATCATAATAATAATATGCATATATGTATGTATGTATGTAGTATGTATAATGTACAGCCAATGAGTAGTGGTCCTTTTTACCGCATTTTACATTGATGTTTTTCTTGTTTTATACATCTTAGTTGGACTTCATTTCACCTGGTTTTTTGCCCCTTTTCACATCCAAATTTGTTTTGGTACCCGTTACGCCCTTTTCGGTTTTAATTTGCGTCGCAATTAATTTGCGCTTTTGCTTTAAACCTGTTTCGGAATTATCGTGTTCACTACTTATTTGTGTTATTAGTTTCTCGGTTAAAATTTTATTACTGTATGTACTTGTATATTTGAGACTTGATTGTTTGTTTTTTATAAAAATAAAAAGTATAACTTAAGATCGAGTAACCAAAATGCGAGTTGCGAAAATAGAGTCTGTAAAAAGTATTAAAAAGAACGAAAATTCACTCGCAGGTATGTTTATATATACTTACATACATACATATGTGAGTGATTATGTGAGGTTATGTTAGCTAAGCACATTCTGGATTTGGTACATAAGTAATTTAAATAAATTCAGATATTATTATGCTCAACCTCAAACATCTTAAAAGTAGCTGTTGATCTTTATACATACATACATATGTATGTAGTTGGTTATTATATATATTTTTAAGTCATATTCCAACCATATTAACCTTCTTCTCTATCTGATTCTCTTTGCAGTTGTGCCCCAAACAGACACAGCATCGACAGAGGTTGTGAATAACGGAAAGAAGGTCAACCAAAAGGTAAAATGAAAAGCCCTCTTTGAATCGGCTAACGAACTGTGTGAAACTAATGTAAATTTTTCCTCCTTCGCTTCTCCTCCCTCCAGGCCAGTGATTTCAGCAACGTCGGCGATTGGCCTATGCTAATTGGTGGCAAACCCGCAAATAACGAATCGAAACGTTCAACGAAACACAAGCAGCGTCCTGCAAACGCAGTCAATAAAGAAGATAACTCAAGCTCTATCGCAAGCGGAGCAGCAGCAACTCAGGGAAACGCTGATCAAACAGGTGCACCAACCAGTGCTGCTACAGGCGATAAACCGTCAACGAGCCAAGCGCAAAATGAGTCCAGTAAGTCTGGTACACAATCAGGGAATGGTGAAGGTAGTGCAGCTACTGCCACACCAGCCAACACAAGCTCAGGATCAAATGGCATTAATAAGAAGATTCCCAAGCACAAGTGGCGTCCCTTGCAAATCGACCTTGCCAAATCCAGCCGCCCGAAACCGATTGGACGTCCCACTAGACGCTTACCAAACTCTACGTCTCGCTATCAACAGCAGCAACATCACTATTACAACCAAGAGCAGCACCCAAACGCTGGTGACCAGTATAACGGCGGAACCGAAACAGAGCAGCGCAGTGATTGGCGTCAACATGCCGCACCCAGCGCAGGAAATGAAGCGCCACGGGGCGGGGGCGGTGAACGTCCGACGCGGCCCACTTCCCGCCCTACTGAGCGCATTGATTCCTGGCGTAGCGGCAGCGGCACCGAGCGCAGTAGTGCCATCGGTGGCGGCAGCGTCGCCGAACGCGAATACGACCGTCCAGCGCGTACGCAACGGCGCTTCCGGACGTCCTACCGCGGCGGCCGGCAAGGGCGCGGTGGATTCGCAAGACCGGGACCAGGTCGTGCGTCAAATCGCATACCACGCCATCTGTTAGCCAGTGGCGAGTACGCAAGCTATTTGCCGGCGGACGCAGCCGGCGTCGACCAGTCCTCGTTTGTGCTCATGGGCACGCACTATTATGGCCCAGTGCCGGCGGCCTACATCGAAATGGACGCACAAACGGTCAAGGAGGCGATCAAGAAACAAGTGTGAGTGCCTTTCCAGAAAATATGATAATTTTTCAGACGCAAACTCCAGAAAGAACACCATTATTACCATTATTTAATAATTTTACTTTTTATTATTCAATTATTTTCCTAATAGTGAATACTACTTCAGCGAAGAGAATTTAACTGGCGATTTCTTTCTGCGTCGCAAAATGGACCCAGAAGGTTGTATTCCAGTTACATTGATTGCTTCTTTTCATCGCGTCTTAGCTTTGACTACTGACGTGGCATTGATCATTAACGCCATCAAGGAGTCCGAGAAGCTGGAGTTTCTCGAAGGCTATAAAGTACGCACAAAGACTAATCCCACAATGTGGCCCATTCGTGATGTGATCGAGACTACATTTAATCCAGCCGCTCAGGTGGCTGCTTCAAATGCAGCAACAAGCGCAGCGAATAGTCAAACACCAGAGAGTGTAAATAATGATATACAAAAGAATAACCAACAAGAAAGTCAAAATAATGCTGCCAAATCTGGCACCGATAATCCGGTTTCATCTGTACCCGCAAGCAATAACACTGGCGGAGATGCTGGCAGCGCCGCAGAAGAGGCTCAACCTACTGTAATTGATGACAATAAGGATGTGACAAGTTCAATTGGGGCTGCCACAGCCACGCCTGTGACCCACGTGGATGCGGCGTATGCCAGCGAAGTGCTCTTCCCGCCGATACTTACCTCAGCTATGGCCACAAAGCCTTTGACTAGCATCCCGCCGCCACCAGTTCCACGCAACTCGCAAAATCTAGTCTCTTCGCTGTTGCTGCAGCAGGTGAAGCAAGTGCCGTCGCCCACTGTGAATGCGGAGAACGCGATAAGTGCGCTCACCCAGAAAGTGGCCGAGGTGGAAAGTGGCAGCGGTGCTGTGGCTCAATTGGCGGACCACTTGAGTGGTTTGGCTGAAAGCGTGAAGATGCCGACAGTGACGTCGACCCCACAGAAAGTACAAAGGACTGGCAAGAACAATGACCAACAAGGTAGTACGAAAGGTAATAACGGCGGCAACAACATTGTTAACGCTGTTGGAAACGCGGCGGGGGCCGATGACGCAACGGCCGATGCCACTGAGGGCATGTGGAAAGAGGTAAAGAGACGCTCAAAATCAAATGCTTTAAAAGATACTAAATCTTCCAATCAACAACACTCAACACAAACGCTCACAACACAACAACATACACAAACCATTAAAACCGTCACCACAAATGCTACCTCTGCAACTAAATCATCGACCACCACAAACAGCAACAAAAATCTGAACAAAATTGATACAAAATTGAACACGGCAAAAACACCATTGATCACATCGAATGCCTCCGCCACATCGAACGCCACCAATCTAAATAACACCTCCAACACCACGAACGCCACATCCACCACCATCATCAACAACAACAACAAAATACCTTCTGCGTCATCCACTCAATCAGCAGCCGCACACGCTTCAGCTACAGCAGCAGCAACAGTTGGCCTCTCGACAAATACAACCGAAAAAGAAGAACTAGACTTTCAATTTGACGAAGAGCTTATGGATCCCATACCAGCGACTGGACGTATAAATAATTTCACCGAAAATTTCTCTGACGACGACGAGTCCGACTATGAATTTGCTGATCGCGATATCAATAAACTGTTGATTGTGTCGCAAGTACAACGAGCGCCCAAACATGAAGGTTACGATCGCACCGCTGACTTCACTTCACGTACGAAAATAACTCAAGACCTCGAGAATGTGATAAACGATGGTTTAGCCAATTACGAAGAAGATCTCTGGACCACATCGAATGTGGGCACGAACTATCGCACAGTAAATGTAATATCGCAGGAAGATTTCGAAAAGCTGGGTGGCGGCGGAGCCAGCGGACGTGTTCAACGTATTTATGCACAACAGGCACCGCCACCACCACCACCCGCTTACGAAGACGAGGATGCCACGCTAAATAATACCCTCAATTCCACGCTCAATTCAACATTGAAGTCGCGACGTGCTCGCTTCTATGCGGCACCAAGCTCACATTCGATCGACCCACGTACACCACGCAAGCGCAAGACCCGCCATTCGTCCAATCCTCCCGTGGAGGCGCACGTCGGTTGGCTGCTAGACTCTGTAGAACACCGACCACGCACCACATCGATGGGCTCCTCGGCGGGCACTTCGCCGACTACCTCATCCTATGGTTCTTCCGTGCCACAGTCATTGCCCGTCTTTCAACATCCCTCACATTCGCTGCTTAAAGAGAACAATTTCACACAGCAAGCCTATCACAAATATCATTCACGCTGCTTAAAGGAGCGACGTCGACTAGGCTATGGTCAATCGCAGGAGATGAACACTTTATATCGTTTCTGGTCATTCTTTTTGCGTGAAAACTTCAACAAGACAATGTACAATGAGTTCCGAGCTTTGGCGCTGGAAGATGCCAGCAACGGTTTCCGCTATGGATTAGAGTGTCTTTTCCGCTTCTTTTCATACGGTTTAGAGAAAAAATTCCGGCCAAATGTATATGAGGATTTCCAGGACGAGACGATTGCTGACTTTGAAATCGGTAAGTGAACATTTGTAAATTGTATTGAATTACTGAACACAAATTAAAAAAATAAAAATAAAAAATATTTATAAATCGAAGATTTGTACGAAAATGTAACTTTATTTAGCTCTTTAATTCTATTTTACTTTTTATGAAAAATGCTATAGTTCTATAAAATACGGGGTTTTTACTTTTGTGGATAATTTTTATATAACTTTCATACTTTTCATGAATTTCTAATATAAGGTTTAGAGGGAATATAAGCAATATATTAGATTAATTAAGACAGCTAAAACCGTACAATTATGTGAGCTATTTGCTTCGAAATTGAATATTTTAAAGCTAAAAATGCTACCCCTGAAGTTAAAGTTTCTTACATTCTTATGCCTTATTTGCATAATTTTTTTATGCATTATTTTTTCTTATACATTTTCACATACCTAAAATGTATTCTTAATTCATCTTGCAGGTCAACTCTATGGTCTTGAGAAATTCTGGGCTTTCCTCAAATACTACAAGAACGCTGATAAACTGACTGTGAAGCCAAAATTGGCTGAATACCTGAAAAAATTCAAAACTATAGAAGATTTCCGAGTTGTCGAGCCGGAAATCAATGAAATGTTGCAAGGGGTGGGAAGTCTCAGTCGCGGTCGTAACTTCAATCGGCTGCGCAGTGTCTCCGAGAGCGACGGCACTGCGGTAGTCGCTGCAGGTGGTCGAAAGCCCAACACTACAATTAGCAATCGCAGCGATTACGTGGGTAATCGACCGCAATACCAGCAGCAACAACAACAGCACCACCAACAGCAGCACAACAATCAACAGTCAGGCAACTATGCCAATTTCAGTAGCAATAGGCGACGTACCGGTTCCTTTGGTAGCGGCACTGTGCGCGTACGTAGCGGTTCGTTGGGTAATAAACCACAAGTGGTATCGCGCAACAACAACTATCATTATCACTACGGTAGTTCGCCGCATGAATTACGTCGTGGGGGTAGCAACTCCGGCCTGGCACCGCACAAACAGCAAAACCGTCAACAACAACAACAGCAAAAGTCTAGACAACAAGTACAAAATAAGGATTCCAATAATGCGCCGGGCGCATCGAATGCTGCCGGGCCAAGTACATTAACAGCGGCAAAAAATGAACATCAACATCAAAATTATGCGGCGGCAGCAAAGCCAAATAAACCAGTAATCAACAGCAATATTACAGCGCCGAAAGTCACAGCCACAGCGTCGGAAGCGACTTCAACGTCAGCGGATAAATAATTGTTTATTTTCACGATTTTTTTTTTTTTAGGTTTGAATACAAAAAAACTTATTTGCTATTGTTAGTTTATTTAATCTTATCCTTCTTGCATAACGTATGTATTTTCTTATAGATTTTGAGTATTTTCATAGCTGCATGTCGGCTCATTTTAGTGGTGTTCGAATTAGCGAGCTTCGAGCGCGCACAATAAACAAAATACACACAAAATACTGTATTTACATAAAGCAAGGAAATTAAGCTATAAATGCATTCAGTTGAGCTGAACGCCATTGAACGTTGAATGAAAAAGTTCAAATATTAAAAAAATATCTAATTAAAAAGTTATAGACTCTATAAGACAGACACGAATTAATTGGCTTTGCTCTCTAGCTTTCAATACACAATTATAAGCAGGACCAATTTTCGCCACGCCATGTATGGGAATCAACTCGAGCGCTAGTTAGCGCCACATGGCCGAGTTATACATCAAATCCAAGACACTAAATTATGAAAATGCTCAAAACTCGCTACATATTGTCGTGCATGTTACTATTAAATGTAAACTTAATTTCATAGGCGTTCAAAGCGTCAATTTACGACTATACCCATTTATACCTACATATATACATTCACCTACAAATAACACCAAAAACATAACGTTAAAGAAATATATTTGCTAAAGTGGCTTTTCTATAAACTGATAAAGAAAATGTAATTCACTTTAAAATGCATTCATAATTTGCAAGGCAGTCGATGCAAGTAAGTTGGAATTTTCTGCTGCTACAAACAGACAATAGAGATCATAGGCTTTAGCTGCTTTAAGAGACAAATTTTCAGATCACATCGAAAACGAAGAGAATTCAGTGGTTCTAACTATGTAGCGCCATTGGAAATACATACATACATACATACATAAATCAACTGAAAGCAATAATAGACTGTTGAATGTCTAATGGTTTTCTTCAAATGCAGACATACAGGCAGACGATAATATATTTACTTAAACATATACATAGCATAATTGTGCTAATGCTGAACTGGACTACAACTTTTGGGTAAACAAATGTTCTTTTTTTTAAATCAAAAAGGATGAAAACAAAGACACAGTACGGCAATCTGTGCTCAGTGCCAATAAAACTAGTTTAGTTGCTTGTGAAAACTAGGCAATATCAAATAAACATATGTTGAAGAAGCAATTCACATGCGTATACATTTTGATATGTAGAGAGTTAGTTTTTTGTTTTTTATTAAAAGGGCAACGTTTGGAAAGAGATCGCTTACATATGAAGTAGTAGGAAATTATAAAAATGGAGAAGTACCAGTGGTATAGTTAATGAATAAAATATATACAAAAAAAACATACAACTAATACTAATAGATAACACTGCAACTAAGCGTAGTTTTATAAGAACTAAACTTTTATGCTAAGGTTTATAAAGAATAACTAAGAATTACATCTAAACAAATTTGTGTGTTTTAGAACAAATACAACTTGAATGCAATATATGACAAATGCAAAAACAACAAATGAATGCAAGCAGACTATGCCATTTAAAGCTTATCGGGCAGGTCCTGCAATCCACTTCCGATTGAATTTCAACCCCTGCCAATTTGAATTCAAAGCGAACTTGACTCAAATTCACTCGGAAGTGAATTGCAGAACCTGCCGGTATATATTTTTATCATACGCTCGTTAAGAAAAACAACAAATAACGTAGACAACAACAGTAAAAGAAAGAGACATACATATGTATGTACATCCATATGTGGTAAAGCATACAGCCAAATGCGTATAACTAACTATAAAATTATGCTTATATATAAAGATTTATTAAAAACATAATTAGGTGATTCGCAAGGTGTCATAACTAGCCATATTGTCATAAATTTTATTATGGTTAAACAATTTTTTTTGGTGTTAAGTGTTAACAACCATAAAATAGCTTTAACCAATCTAAAATCATTGGCTTCATGACCATATATCACTTATGACACCTTGTAAATCCTGTGGATTTATATAGTTGATATTTAAACAAAAAAGATACAACGCAGAGATATTTATATGATAAACTTCAATATAATGCATACATACATATGTATTCGATTACGTAAATATGTATACAAAGCAGAAATTTATATGCGATAATTCGCGTAAGTTCTCGTTTCTACTACTACCAAACACACACAAATACATATGTAGGCGCATTTGATTAAGACATAAAAACCTTATTAAAATATGATAACTAGAGTTCTAAGCATTTACAACAATTTCCAAATATTATACGCCACATGTGCACCACTTTAATAGCTGGTTGCTACTATAATGATGTAATAATATTACAAATTTGCGGTATATGCTTTCACATTTACGCAATTTGTAAAGTGAAGCGAATAGCGGTTGGCATATAAAATAAACAATGGAAAATATTTGCTCATCTTCAATTTGATATTGTGTGTTTAGAAATTTAATTTTTAACATATCAAGCAAAAATTTGAACCGAAAGATTTGGTGTGTTTTGCACAGCTGCTTATTACCCTTAGACACTCACATTCATCCACACTGCCGCCTGCTTCACAGTGTGGCTGCCTTCTTAAACGCATTAATGCAAAGCATCAGTCTCTTGTTTTATTTCTCAACCATAGGAGATAAAAGTATTCAATTTGCGCAACTTTATTAAAAATTGGTATCTCTACATAGTTGCGCATATTGGATATTGATATGAGTTGCAATTTAGAAATAAAAGACACTGAACCTTTGCATTAATGCGTTTAAGAATATAGCGCGTATACGATATTTTAAACTTTTTCCAATTATTCCATAATGATGCTGGAGTTCTTTGAAAGCTCGATTCATCATACGAAAAAATTCCAAACGCACTGTGAGTAGCTGATGCCGGATTTGTTAAGAAAATCCATACATTATTGCAATTAATCTCTCTCCTTTAACTCTCCTTTTCGCCCTCATTGGTTGTTGGAAATGACAAAGTTGTGCTTCTAATTTTTTTTTTATGATATCAATTGTTTTATTAATTAGTTGTGTAAGCGATTTCAATCTATATGTGTTACATTAATGCTAAGTTTTCTTTTGGTTCGATTCGATTTAACTTTAAAACAACAAAAACAAAACATAAAAAAAAACAAAAAAAAAGATATTTAATACAAAAAATGATTTTATTCTATAAAATCGAATAAAAAATATTGAATTTAGTAATATATTATATATGAAGCAACAAAGAGCATACACAATTTTGAAACACGCTGTTAAAAGTAGAAAAAATAATTATACCCAATGTGTGTGGAAGTGTAGTGTACATCTATTAACGCATAATTAATCAAGTAAAAATAAAAATGTCTATACTTTTTTTTATAAATGTTTAAGTGAAACAGAAACATAACCCGAAAACACATAAAATTGAAAAAAAAACGAATGAATCAACAAATGACTAAATGTTAACTTTTTACCAAAAAGAAAATAAAAATCAAGTAATTGCAAAACTAAAAGTAGAAGCAAACAAGTGACAGAAGAATGTATGATTTTTGTAGCGTTAAAAAGCAATCTGATTTCGTTTGAAAAACTATTTAGAAAATGGCATAGTTTATTATAGTTTGCAACAAACCAACAGATATTTGCAATACGTTTGTTATTAACAAATAATCACTTTTCGTGTACAATCAAGAGTGGAGTTGTAAAATTTGAATATTATCCTTTTTGTTTAATATACTCAAATTATAAATATGAAATATTTTTTTAATATATTAGCCGTTTTTTTTTGACGAAACATTGGTATATTTTTTTCTTGTAAATAGTAATTTATTGGAGTAAATTGAATTGAAAAATCACTAAATATTATTGATGCAATTTTATTAGTTCATAATTGAAGAAAGAAAAATTTCGCAAAACACTTTCAAAATTATACAAAATTTAAAACAATCAAAAAACGAAGAGAAATAAAGTAAAAGTAGAAAAGTATAATAAATGTATGAAAATTGTACGAAAACAAAATGGAAAATTAAATAAAACCACAACGTGCTCACGCACCAGCTCCCAGTAGTAATGCGTTGCTGTGGCGACGCGCAGCTATTGTTGCCTCGGTCTTTTAGCTGGCTGTTGCCGCGCATAGCTGTCTGCTTGGGTTGAGTGTGTTTGCAAACTTTGTCTATATACCTACTTAACGTATATATACGCATATTTGTAACATTACTTCATATGTATACAACCGCACATTATTACGTACATACACTAGGAACAACAGACGTGCTAGTTTGTTTTCGTAAAAAGAGTAAAATGATTTATTTAACCACAAAAATACGACAAAAAACTTGAAGTGAAAAGAACTAAAAAAAGTACTAATAGTTTGAATTTGTTGAAGCGAAAATTTCAATATTTATCTCAGTTACAATTATAATATAATTTTTTTTTTTAATATTTTATTACACTGTATTCCTAATTGCTTGCGTTTAGCTGGAAACTTATAATTGCTTATGTTGTACTATATTCATACATATATAGATATACATATATACCTATTTTTTAATATTATTGTATGTAAGTTTACCTAAAAGTGATAGTTCTAATTTTAAATTAATTTAAACGAAAAAAAAATACAAATTTCTTCTAAAGGCTTAATTCAGTAAAAAAACTAACATAAAAACTACACAAAAAAATGTTAAAAACTTAAAAGTGTAAAAAAACGTAAAAAAGCTATAAAAATACAATAAAAACATGAAAAACTTAAACTGCGCTCTTTTATTTTATTTCTTTTTATTCGATGTTTCACACACCTGGTATATACAGTGACCGAACTTAACGTTTTTACAAGATTTTACTGGAGATCGATCCCTTACTGAGAGAGAGCAAAACGCACTCTATTTGTGAGAAGTTACTTTTGTTGGTAAAATCTGGTAAATGTGTCAAACGATCAGATGTAGTATATTTGCCGACCTAATTGTAAACAAAAGAAAAGTGCACGCTGAGCATGCATTTGCAAAAATATTTAATTACTTGCTTGAGTGGATTTTAATGAATTTGTAAGTATTTTTGGTTATTAAAAAGTCTGAGCTGAGCGTGTTTAGATATAAAATAAGCAAAATTGTACAAGCCAAATTTGGCATTCCCACGGCAGCCGGTTCTACGTACCGGAAAGACTCGGGTTTTATCCGACCAATGGATGTTGTTTCGGCGATCTAAGCCCGTTTAGGTCGGCGAAGTATCTCAGAAGTTGTTCGTCCATAGGGCTACATTTGCTAGGCATTCTTCTGCTCAGGGCTGGGATCGAGTCAAACCCAGGCCAAGAAACCTACACCTGCTGTGTATGCCAGAGACGACTACCCTACAACACCACCTCAGTCAAGTGCAATGCTTTCGACGGGTGGAGTTAACTTAGAGTCTGCTCAGAACTACGGACCCATCGGCAGTGGACCACACCATTTGTGGCCCCTTGCTGCTTAAACAGAGCAGCCTTCACGGCTAACCCCAGTCTACCGAGCAGCTCAACACAAACACCACAGCTCCACAACACAACAACACAACAACACATAACCACGACAGACCACACAGCAGACACAACCGCACCACTATCCACACGTCGCCGCCAACAACTCCTGGTTCCTCCTACAATATGCGCGGTATGTCAGATCAGGATATTCCGTAACGTGACATCAGTCAAGTGCAACACCCGCAAAAGAACACGTCTTCCGAACCACATGAAGCTCCTTCAATTTAACTGTAACGGACTTCAAAGCAAGATCGAGGAGATAACCGTCTTCATGGGAAGGCATGGTAAATTGATAGGTGCGGTCCAAGGGACGAAGTTGCACAGCAAGTCAACATTGTTGAATTGTGCCGGATACAACGTGCACCGTCGATATCGCGAGCGAGATACTAGTGGTGGCTTAGTGTTCATCACGCACCACACCGTGCAGTATCGTCTTATTGAAGCAGACATGGGATACCAGCCTAGAATGTCAAGGCATTACTATCCGGTCAGGCGATGTTGAGCTCGAAATATTTAACGTTTACATACCCCCTGTCACTTGCTGACCGGCAGGATATCACCCGGATATAGGTGCGCTTCTCAGAGGTGAGAACCGCACGGTAGTATGTGACTTTAATGAGCACCACAATCTTTGGCATTTAAGCCTGTCAAACGATCGTAGGTGAACACATTTGGCTGAGCAGATAGACAATTCGACATTCTGCACATTGAACGACGACGCACCCACCAGGATTATGGGCAGCTGCTGCAGCTCGACACACATAACAATAGTCAGCGCTGGTCTGATAAACAGCGTATCATGGCGACCTATGCTGACTTTGGCATCAGACCATCTGCCCATTGTCATCTCAATGGATAAACCAACCGACTTTGCTTATGCGGACCTATATCAACCTATATCAACTTTTCTAAAGCTGATTGGAAAGGCCTCGCGGAATTTACTGAGAGCACCTTCGCGGCAGCCGATGAGCGTGACAACCTTCATCAGGCCGATCCCGGGAATCCCCGTATCAGGGATCTGAGCTCGGAGCTTCGGCAGCTTCTGATCGTACATAAGCGAAAGAAGTGGGAAGAGCATCTGAAGATTTGTAACTTAACCTCTGGCGTGAGTAAGCTTTGGTCAACCGTGAGGTCACTGTCCAATCCGACGAAGCACGACGACAGGGTCGAATTTTCTTTCGGCGACCATGCTTCGTCGTACCCGGAGCGATGCGCGAGCTATTTTAGCACGCATTTTATACTGCATCCTCCAGCGGAAAAAGCCAAGCGTCGAGTGACCAGATGGCTGCACAAACTGCCAACAAGTTGTGGCCCCCTTGGTTTCACTAGCGGTGAAGTTCAGGTGGCAATCGGGAAGGCGAAAGCCTAAAAAGCCATGGGTCCCGACGGAATATGCATGTTGATGTTGAAAAATTTGAGTCCAGCGGGAATAGCGAACCTAACGGAGATCCTCAATATGTCAATGGCCACTACCATCATCCCAGGCACGTCAGGAGGCATCTCTACGAACTGACGGACGAAGTCCGATCTTCATTAAGCAACTTGTGTACCCGTCAGCTCATCGACAGGCCCTGAGCGGCATTCACAGGGAGTCAGTCTCGAGTTATGTAGACTCCAGACCTGTGAATGCCGTTCTAGGCGCACAACGGCCAAACATTGACGAGATGGAGTTTCATCTGCCTCGGGAGACTAGAACCACAATAGCCCAACTTCGCTCTGGCTACTGCAGCAGGCCAAACTCATACCTGAGCAGACTAGATGCAGATGTGCCAAATGAGTGTCCGGCATGCGGAGAGACACCCCATGACTCGAAACATCTCTTCGTATGCCCGGAAAACCCGAGAACCCTAACGCCTTTGTCCCTGTGGACCGACCCTATTGAGGCTGCACGCTTCTTAGGGCTTCCGTTAGTGGAGCTTGACGACAATAACTGAGATATTAACCGATCTGGGTGAGGTTGTTGTAGCCGCTACAACAACAACAACAAACCAAATTTGGAGGTTGTGTTGAAGTTGTCAGAAGTTAAACTTTTGAGAAAATATCTTTCCCGTGATATCTCATAAGTCTGAGTTGGTATAGTTTTGTCGCAGTTATTCAAGTTTTTCTTAAACCAATCTTTAAAAAAAGTTCATAAACATCATCAAATATTTCATTTAGCCCTATCGCCAACTTCATGTGAATAAATTGTTTCCATAATTTAACAAGCAGAACAGAAACAAATAGGCAAAAATTGTTTTTGTTTTGCTTATAGTTTTTGGGAATATTTTTTTACGTTCCTTTCAACAACTTTTAAAATATTTTTATTCAAATTTTTTAAGCTTAACCTGTTTTGTCTTCAAGGTTATTTAAAAAAAAAAACACTTAAAAAACAATTTTCATTCATAAAAAAAAAATTTTGAAGGTAATTTCAAATCGGTCACGTAAATCTTAATATTTTTCCGAAATATTTTGGTGCAAGTCTTAAAACATAATCTATACTAATAATATAAAGAGAAGTCCCTTTTTTTTGTAACAGGTAATCTCGCGAACGGCTGATCCGATTTTCATGAAATTTTGTATACAAATAGCTTTCGGTAACCACCATGTTTTAGGCTAAAAAAATTTTACTTTTTTCGGGTAGGTGGACCAGGGACCGGTCTATTCGAAAAAACTTATTATAGTCCGATTTTCTTAAAATTTAGTACGTAAGTAGCTTTTTAGCATATATTAGCATATATGACCCATTTTTTCCGGAAAGTGGACCAGGGACCGATCTATTCTAAAAAATCGTATTTATGGTCCGATTTGCTTAAAATTCGGTACGTAAGTAGTTTTTTAGCATATATTAGCATATATGATCCATTTGGTCCGAGAAGTGGACCAGGGACCGATCTGTTCGAAGAA